CCTGTCCCATTCTTCTTCAATTTAGTACTGTCATCGAAGCCAATCACTTTATTAACAGTCAGTCACTGCTTAGACACATTCCTTTGTTTAAGAAGATTAGAATTATCAGGGATAGAACTACTATACAGCGCCGTATCACCAATGGCCTTTCAACTATGCCGGTCGATTCGTGTACTAGTAGCAGCGTCAATCACGAATGTCACATGAACCCTACTATACCTAACTCCACCCCTCCTAAAACGGAGAACAGATCCAAAGTGACTATTAGTCCGAAGACCTGTCCCCTGAACAAAAGTGCTGCAACTTGTCCCGTAGTCAAAAGCCCATCTACATGTAAACCACAGGTCAATCGCACTTTTGTAATACATAAACATTGTCCTAAAGATAAAGGGACAGACCTAGTGGTTCGAAATTCCCACAAGAGACGTGCTACTCGCCCTAACCGTCAGTCTGCAGTACTTAACATACCTAATAAAAAACAATGCCTGCCCCCTACCTCTCCTACTCGGGACGCTACTATACTTCTAAAATTGAACCCTAGGACTCCTGAGAATACGGACACTCATACCATAAATACCTCCCTAAACTCTAACCGTAGGCGCCTCCCCGTTTCCAACCCAAAGCCTTTACCGTTGATTGCGTACAAAAAGACTAGGATGCCTAGAGTTGCTGCGATAACTCGTAACACTAGCCTGCTTGGGCATCCGCCTAATGTTCCTAGACACCACCCTAGCCGAAATTCCTTTTGCAATTCTTCAGTCTCTCCAAAAAATGTACCTAACCCTTTTTTAACGCTCACCCCCTCAACAGAGTTGTTTTTCTACCTCCAGCTGTTGAGGGCGATATTTCCCCCTCCTTCAAGTCATGCTTTGCATTCTGTGATGTAATGGATGACAATCGATCTTTGACGCTGTCTTCCCCTTCTAGCTGTAATACCTTTATGTCTGGTCCTTTTGTCAAACCACCTTTCACATTGTCCAAAGATTTGACTAACTCCACTATACCTTATCCAATGGACTTACGAAACGATCCACCCTTATGCCCCCTAGCGACTTCCTCATCTGTTCTTTGATATACATTTATTTTATTTTTATTTATATAAATATTATATATGCACTAATTGTAACAACATAAAACAATCAAGAACAATATGTGCATTTTATGAAATGAGCAACATTATGCCAGCAACAATCAAAAAAACAAGAAATTAGAAAAAATGAAAAAGTGTAAGAAAGTCAGAAAGCTAAGAAATCTAGCGATAGTGTCAACTCTTTACACAATATGCCATTGCATACGATATCACTATTTGACTCTATATGCTAATGAAACAAAATATACTTCTGTTTTTATTGTACTTTACTTTACTTTCAATGGTTACAATCAACAATACTCAACAATATACGCATAGAGATAGATCGAGAGATAGATAAATCAATACAGGAATGGAATACTCTGTAGAACTAGTCTTGTGTAAATAAGAAATATAATCATTTGATGATGATGATAATAATAATATAAAAAAGGGAATAAACTGTATGTATGACTGTAGTTCTTCAAATATCAACCATCATAAATTAATTACTTAAAAATAATGCAGAGAACAGTAATCATACAAAAGTAATCATACATATGACAAATTTTTAAGCAAATATAGAAAAAGAAAAGCAAAAGGAATTGGAATGGAATATTTGCAAAATTTCACAAATTTTTTCGTAGCAACGATGCATATATACGTGCATAATAGACTCAAGATAATTAATTGTTTAACAGTTTTTTTTTATACACAATGGTATAGACAGAGAGAGAGAGAGAGAGAAAAGTACGGCAAAAAGATGTACACAGACCGAGAAAGTACTACTAAGAAAACAATAAAAACGAAATACAAAAATTAATCACTAGTCATGAAACAGTAATCAATCGAGAGAGAGAAAAAAACCAGCTGATAGATAAACAAATGAAAATTTCTTTCTTTCATGGATTGATTGAAGAGTTTGATTAAAATAGAACAGGATAAACAAGTGAGCAAATCAAAAAATTTGTTGATTACAACGACTAGGGGATAAGACCATATATATGGCATACTTATTCCTTTTTCAGAATGAGATATCAATATAAAAAAGAAGAGAGAGAGAGAGAGAGAAAATAGACTCAATTTATATGAACCGTGGATAATTTGATTGGTCAATTCAATTTCAGTAGAGTTGATCCTGTTTCACCAATTACATTATATCTGTACGAGGTTGTGTTGTATTGTTGCACGCTCACCATGAAGATTTTCTTTTTTTGATGATGTATAAGAAGAATGTTTAATGATTGTCATGATGTGGTTGTTGATGTTGTGACGATGACGGTAGTGGTGTTGTTGCTGGTGTTGTTGTTGATGATGCTTGCGGTGGTGGTAGTAGTGGTAAACGATAATTATTCTCATCAGTTAAATTATGCATACGCCTAGAATGAATATGAGACTTGGTTCTATGATTGATATTTCTATTTTCGGTACTCATTGAAGGATACATTGATCCACTGGAAGAAGGAGGTGGAGGATGAGGATGATGATGAGCTGCTGCTGGTGGTGGTGGTTGAGAACTACTAGGCGCATCTTGTGGGAGTCATCAGTTAACTCTGACGAACAACACTTATTATTTCCTACCTCACATGTTTCTCTCACCATGCCTGTCTCTGAATACCTTTCTCCCTCTAACTATATCGCTCCCAAACTAACTGATCATTACAATCAAGCCTATATTCCTACTTCCAGCCCTTCTTTAGAACACACACCATACAACCCTCCAGATGCTCATCGTGCATCCCTGAAAGATGAGTATTCGTCCTATGTTACACTAATGCTAATTAATTCCCGATCTGTTATCAATAAGATTACCCACTTACGCTCTCTTGTACTTCTAAACAATCCTTCCATTGTCCTGATTACTGAAAGCTGGTTGTCCTCCGATGTCCCTGACTCATACCTTCTAATAGACTCTTATGAACTCTTTCGCGGTGACCGAGGATCTAAAAAGGGTGGTGGTTGCCTCATCTATGTATCTAGAGACATCAAAGCAGAAATGTTTTATGATACTGTTCTTAATCAAGTGCCTGATTCGATATGGCTGACTGTGCACGCCCATGAATGTAAAATACTGGTTGGATGCATATATCGAGCTCCTAACACTCGTCGATCGGTTGACGTTGCTATTGGTGAGTCGTTTGCCAGGGCTGCCTGTCTTAAATTCACCTGCAAAATTATTTGTGGTGACTTCAACCTCCCTGGAATCAACTGGCGGACACATTCCGGTCCACTACGATTTGATAGCTTACTTGGTCCCCTAGACACACACGGTTGGCAACAACATGTGCACCTGCCTACTAGGAACCACAACATCCTCGATTTGGTATTTTGTCACGATGTGACCCCAACATCTGTGTCTGTCTGCGAAACGTTTCACAACAGTGACCATAAAATTGTCCTCTGCACCCTTCCGTTTTTTGCTAAATGTGACAAATCTAAAACAGTAAACCGTTTTCAATACAGAGACTATAAACATGCTGACTGGGACAGCTTACGGTTTCTAATTCAGCACTCCGACTGGACTGAGTTTTTTTCTTGTCTTGAACTTTCTGATGCATTACATATATTCAACGTCACCATCAAATCTGCTCTAGACACGACTATCCCACTCAAAACGTCTTTCAAAACAGTTACTCCTTATATCACCTACAAAGCTAGGGCTAAACTACGTCAACTAAAACGGGCGTATTGCAAATCTAAGGACTTCAGCATCCTGTACCAAATTTACGCTTTACTTGACGGTGTTAAACATCAACATGAAGTGCGTAGGCAAATCGAAGAAAATAATGCTCTCGCTACTGAGTGTAAGTCCCAAAACCTCTGTCGTTTGCTTAACAAACGCATAAAAAAGGACTCAGATCGAAAAATTCATTATATAATACATGATGGACAGACTTATTATGACGAAGCTGTTATTTGCGAACTGTTTAGTACATGGTTCTCCCTCAATCTGAACACATCTCCTACCCCTGATACTAACACTCACTGTAGCAGCATGCATAATCTTTGTACCATCAAATTTGATCTTAATAATATTCAAGCCGCCATTAAAACCCTTAAACCCAATGGCAGCTGTGGTGCGGATGAGATACCTTCCATACTTTTTAAAATGGCAGGACCGAACCTTTCAGCGCTGTTGCTTAAAATTTTTACCTTATCCCTTGAGTCTGGTACATACCCCGAATCGTGGAAGTTGACTCATATTGTCCCAGTACATAAATCTGGACCGAAAGACCTAGTCCAAAACTACAGACCGATTAATATCACTCCTGTTATATCACGTGTGATGGAGAAAGTGATAAAAGATCAACTATCTGATCACTTACTCAGGGAAGGTCACATTGACCCCTCTCAACATGGCTTCATTAGAACTAGGTCATGCACCACATGTCTTTTAGATTTCTTTAATGAGGTTACCAGCATACGCGATCAAAAGCAACTAGTAATCGTGTTGTATTTTGATATCAAAAAGGCTTTCGATAAGGTACCTCACAGTCTTTTAATCAACAGACTTCAGTCCGTCGGTATTAGTGGCCACCTGTTGCAATGGATTAGGTCGTTCCTCACAGATAGATATCAGGTTACCAAAATCAACTCACATACATCTACACCTCGACCAATTACCAGTGGTGTTGTGCAGGGCAGTGTTTTGGGTCCACTACTTTTCATAATCTACATCAACAGCATATGCAGTTGTTTCAACACTGGTAAAACCTACCTCTATGCGGATGACCTAAAAGTGATTTATCAAACTAGCAAATCTGACTTAGGAAACTTGTTGCACACAATCCAGCACGAACTCAATACTGTAGATGTCTGGTGTAAGCAATGGAACCTTGAACTTAATACTGAGAAGTGTGGCTGGATGTGTTTCGGAGACGCTGCTCCCAAATTAGATCTCATTCTCAACAGGAATGTATTGCCCAAACTCACATCCGTAACTGATCTTGGAGTGCATTATTCGCACAACCTTAACTTCTCCGAACATATCTCCAATAAAGTTTCTCGAATGAGAAGAATGCTTGGTTTCATCTTTCGTAACTTCCTTCATAGAGAATCCAGAACAATTCTCTATAAAACATGCGTAAGACCTATTGCTGAATACTGCTCTTTCTTATTTTCTAACGTACGCCTGTCTGATATGTTGAAGCTTGAAGGAATACAAAGGAAATTTACTCGTAAAGTCCTAAATCATAGCTCACCCATTGACTATCCAACCCGATGTATTGAACTCGGGCTCGATCCATTATGGAAAAGAAGGCTTAAGTCCAATCTGATCCTTTACTTTAAACTCCTGCACAAGCTCACATATTCCTCCTGCAGTTTAGTCCTTATCCATGGCCCTTGTACACATAACCTTCGAGATAAAGTATCTACGGTCAAACTTGAGAAGTATAGATCCAAAACTCGAGAAAACTTCTTCCTCTCTAAGTATGCACTTATATGGAATAGGCTTCCCTCTAAAATACGCATGGCAAGTGGGTTACATGAGTTTGTTCAACTTCTTAATGATGCTCTCAGTTGCACTGACTCTTCTGCGCTCGTGAACTCACTCGCACCCTGCTTTCATATTAATAGCTCTGCATACACTTTAAACACACTGAACTCAGTGCTGCGTCTTATTTAGTTATTTTTACACTCCCAAGTTGCACTAATTTTTCTAGTTGAATATAAATCTCTTTAGTTTTTATTTGAAATAGACAGGTTACTCTACTAACTGGGTCGTTCGACACTGTTCAACTGTAAACTGGTTGATTAGAATGCACTCTACTCTCCTGGGCGCAACCTTATCAACACTTACAACTGTGTGAGTTTCACATTGCCTATTATCAATTATACTGTTCTCACTTACACGCTATTGACTTACCTTGGCCCCTTAGTGTTATCTATTGCTCCGCTTTTAACCGCGATACTCTTTATATCTCCTGCTTAGCTAGTTAAGTACATCTTCCCCACTACATTCAAAATGCTTATATCTTGTTTGAAAATTCTTACTATTTCTCCATAACTGTTAACTGTATAGCATTGATGCCTAACCAATAGTTCATAAGTTGTAATAGCCAGACGAGTTTGTGAAAGGAACTTGCAGAAATAGTGTTTCTCAACAGGATGCGAGACATAGAACACCAAGTAGAACTCAATAGCTTCTTTTAAACATTTAACATGAGCCTAACAACACAAAAGGAGGGAGGGTGGAGTTACTGACCAGCAAACATTGATGGTATGGGCGATAACTTCAAACAACCCATGTTTGTGGGGCAGAACATTTTGTTTGCTTTCGGCTCTTTAGATTGATGAGACGACTAATCAGTAACACTGAGGTTGCTCTTATACGCTTGCTACTTCTGTGGTTCATGTTTCCAAAACTATGCTGAGGTCGCTATTCTGTCGAGACACCTGCAACATTCTTACTCAGGCGCTTACAGTATGACTTAGAGGTTGGCATTCAATAATAAAGAAAAAAAAACAGTTAGACAGTGCGAGATTTTATTCGTCAAATATTTATTTTTACAAACTCTACTCTTTTAACTAGAATTTCGATTTCAACGTACATAAATCCAGCTTCTTACTTCGACTTCTCTTCTATCCACCTGACACTGCACAACTCTCCCTTCTTTTTGCTGTACTCCTTTATCTGTGTGTTATATTCTTATATTCCCATAATTTACTTTAATTTAAGTGGTCAGTATGAATGTTATCTTGACTTACTACTGTATTGACTACTTTAACATGACAGGTTAAGTAGTGCTTTGGTTATATATATACACTTGCCACACTGCTGCCTTTTTCTCTCTCTCTTCTCCTTTTCAGAACCCCATTCACGGTGGGTAATCCTTGGCAACTCTAGGGAACATGCACCCAATGTACACGACTGTCTGGATCACAGCTCGTATCAAGCGCGTTCCATATGACCTTTCCCAACAAATTCACTATTGATCTCGGCCAATCGCCAATAGAACCTATTGTGCACCTTCCTCATTTGTACTCTAATATTGAAAATGTGGCTGTATAATACTGTTTCTGTCAGTGATATGGTGTAAATATGCAATCAGAAACTGTCTCTTATACTTAATTTAACTGCTATAACTTTTACAGTAATTGTAAAAGCATTTGTGACAATTTGATCTAGCCTGTAAACTGGCGTGTCTCTTGTAACTTAGTTATTTGAGAATAAATTATTATTATTATAAGCAAGATAAAGAAAGCTATTAATCTGAGGAAATGACAATTATGTTAACTAGCAAGTTACGAGATATGCATCGAGTACAACTGGTCGAAGTACGTATGTTAGTACGTGTTTTTCAAGTCTATATTTGACGTTATCCGCTTAGGCGAGCGTAGTCACTTCGACTGGCAGAATTTTACAAGCAGAAACAAGTCCTCAAGAGAAAATGTGTAAACGAACCTGTGTTCGCTCTCCGTTGAGTTGGGTTACCTCGGGCGGCGTGGTGTTAATTTTTTTATAAAATGCTTGTGTCGGGATGATTCGGCGTATTCAGTATGTTGTACGCCATTTTCAGAGGATATCTGAGTCTCCTTTAACTCAGCAAGGGTAATCACATGCACTGGGTTCTGTCTTCGTGGGGTTTATTCTTCTCTATTCGTCTCTACACTCAACCAGTGAGATTTATGTCTCTCTTGAGAAGAGGAGGCGCAACGATATTGTGTAGGACACTTTGAACGATGCCTCTCACTGTCTGCCTGTCGTCATCTGCTGTTAGACCCCACCGTTCTCGTGGTCGTGGGGCGTGTAGAAGATGCTCTGTTATGGATGTGCAGTTTTCACTAGTGTAGCAAAGGTAAGGCTCGTTTCCATCCCTCCTAAGTGTTTCTTTTACGACATTCTTAAACACGGCTGCGCTGTGGTCTCTGCTTCTGACTGGAGTGCAGCTGTGATCATTCTTGACCAGGAGGTGATCATTGATTAATAAATGACCCACATTCAGTGGTTCACCACAGTTTATCTAGTGACGTTGCCTACTCGATCTGTTAGTCCAGAACTTTACGTGGCTGTACCCTGGTTGCTGAGATTTATCGGTGGCATGTTGAAATCACTAGTTAAATGTATTTAACTAAACCCAAGGACTGATAGTTGCAATATCGTTTCATTCAACTTTTCGTCCTGGGCTTAGATCCCGAGGAGGGTACGTAAATCTCTCCAATCAAGTATTTTGTGCCGTTTGTGTTGAAGCAATACCAGCATGCTTCTTCGCATTGGTTAGTTGTGTAACCTGGTAATACACGAACTTGAAGGGCCTCATAATGATTAATAATAGTTTGCGTTTCTTGTGACTGATGATTTCTGAGCAGCACCTACAGGTTTTTTGTAATTTATCTGTCTACTAGAATATAAGTGATGAGAAATTTTATGGAAGATAATGATGCGACTTTATATAATAGGGAAACTCTGAATGATTGGAGTAGGAGCACAAAGGCATGAGCTAATAGGGTTGACCTCATTCTTTAGGAAGTTGTCAGAACTAAAGTGGCGCCAGCAGCGGCGTCGGCGGCGGCTGCAGCAGCACTGCTATTACTACTACGAATGACAGTAATGTTTCTTCTTCCTCCACTGGTCCTAGTTCGAATACTACAACTGCCACCAATGCAGCACCAGCATCAGCATCATCGTCATTATTATCATCAACATCATCATCGGTAACAGAAAATCGTACTGGTAGTAATAGTGGTAGTGGTAGTACTAGTAATACACAATCAACAACTCGTCATTTTCTTGATTCACGTTTAACTAGTAATAAACCAAACTCGAGTGGTGGTGTATCCGGTGAAATGCAACGTTTAGTTGATTGTGCTTATTTTCATACAGGAGATTTTATCAATGTATTTGTACGTGGTAATCTTGTACTTCAAAATGCTGAAGAACGTTGGGCTGCTGTCGGTTATCCTGGTCACCTTTATGGTACTGTCAATGGAGTTTTAGGTCTTCTTGTTCAAGTCTCTCCAGTTTTATTTGCATTTTTAAAAGAAATTGAATTTCGCTTATCAAATTTAGTTGTACCTGTTGGTGGATTTCCACATGATACATGGAGAGCTTTTAAAGCTGATCGTGAAATTAAAATGGCACATAATTTTGTCGATGGTGATCTCATTGAAACAGTTACCTATTTAAATATGGAAGATAAAGCTAAACTAGTCAAAGGTTTACGAATACCGGTAAATATGAATGAATTTGGAACTGCTGGTTCAACGTGTACTGTTGATCCAGAGACAAGAGAATGTACTGTGGAAGATTTAGTTAAAGTGATCGAGGAAATGTCACGTCTGCATTAGTAGTAGCCAATATGTTGTAACCAAAACTAAAAATCATACTAACCAATGGTTTATATTGATGATGATGATGATGCCATTGTCACTATTTACTCACATTCAATGATGAATACTGTTAGATTTCTTTTTTTTTTTAAAAAAAAAGTCATATTTTCCAACCTAATAAACAAACTACATGCTGATGTACTGATGACCTCTGTGCATTGTTTCGGATTGTAGGATGTCATCGCACCCCGGAATAGTAGAAGAATAAGCATTGTTATAATTTAAGGCAAACCAGTAATGTAGTAGGAAGTGATGGTATAAAAAGAGTTTCACTATTAGAAAGTCGGGATGATGCCACAAAATTCCTCAATAAATTCAGTCAAGGTTGTCAGACTGGTGGGAATCTGATAGATTTATTGAAGATGTGATAAATAAGAAAAGCCAATTCACTTTACAAAGAGTAACATAAGATAAATTTTTAAAATTAAACCTCGACGAATAAAATATGAGCTGGGTCATGAGATCAATCATGATAGTCTCAGGAAGTACGAACGTAAGCATTATGTAGATATTTATATGTTTACCTAAATCACTGATAATCACATTGGTCTTTAATGGGTGACAGAAACCATTCTCAAATAGGAAGGCATCAGTGAAAATCACTGTAAGTCTGTTCTGTAAGTTAGACTAGTGAATTAAAAAAATTCTGGCACATGTCTAACTTCATATACTCAAAATATCTATTCTTTGGTGAGCCGATCGTGATATAAAACGATAGAGTAGTAATAGGTAAACGCCAAACAGTAGGAAATTCCAAGTTCAAGAAAAAATAATTGATAAATATACTGACGCAGTGCGCCTATTATAGAGCATAGGTCACCAACCAGCATTCTCCAACATACCCTGTCCTAGGCCTTGCTTGTTTGACTGCGTTGCTGTCCATCCTTTTCATGTTTGCTTCCAATCCATGGCGTAATATGCCCTTCGGTCTTCCTGTTTTCTTTTGGTATTGAGGATTCAAAGTGAGGGCTTGTCTGGCGACTCAGGTAAGTGCTTTCTGTAATATGCGTTTAATCCACTACTTTTTCTTAGTTTCCGCCCCATCCAGAGGCCCATGTGTTCTCTCCTACACCAGTATGTTGCTGATAGTGCCTCTTCAACGATTCCAACGTGTACTGTCTAAACAACTGTTAATAAGCACCTCGATGTTTTGAATGAGGTCTATCATTACTCACTAATTTTCTGCTTCATACATTTTTAGTGGTGACCGAGATTGACTATGATCACCACTAAATGTTACTTACTGTCTCGTCACGTAATATAGAAATAAATTCATGGTAGGATATTTACTTAAGGCCTACATAGAGAGCAACAAGTTATGACAAATGGCAGCAACGCGAGGAGAACGTTGAGCGCAAGAAGTGTTTTTGGTACAGTTAAACAAAACGAGTACAATAATAAGTGTTTATTTTTCACCAATCGCGTTTTCTTTGTAGACGTGTTTCACTACATTGGCCCCCAGGTTTCGAACTTTCCATACGTAGGGGCTTCGAGCGGGGAGGGGCTGGCCGGCCAACGTGCGATTTTAGTGCAGAAGGGTTGACGAACAGGAAGCGACCAATGAAGCTCGAGTAGTAAACGAAATTCTTCTACATTGGACTGTACCAGTAGTAATGTGCCAGGTTTGATGCTCGAGTTGGCGCGCCACACCAACGTGGCTCGTATTCAGAGTCTGAAGGTTGCGTTCGTAGGCGTCTGTATGTAGAGTAACGTGAGCCTTTTATCGTTCTTGTAGTAAATAAATTTAGTACACATTGGGGAATTCTGTTCAGTCGATTGTTCCGCAATGATCCGTAGTGTGAAGATTTGGTCGGTACATGATAGATCCTTATGGAATCCTGAGCATGGCTCTCAACATTGAGCGTCTGGTGAATCTTTCATGCAGTTTAACAACATCCCTGCAAACTTTTTGTGGTTTTGAGAGTAGAGCGATTTGTCTGTATTTCTCAAATTAGCTGAGCACTCCTCTATTTGGTATCTTGGTGATGTATTATTCTTCCAGGATTTTGGTATTCGTTCTTCTTCCTTGTGTATGTGAGACACAATCTTCTTAACAGACGGAGTGCAACTGCGTCTCTCCCAAAAAGAATCTTTTATATCGAGGCTCAGTTCGCTGTATTTTATTAATTCCGAATATCGGCAGGTTGTATCTTTCCCTTTCCGCCACAACTTGAGTGGTTCTTCCAGTCTCCCGTATCAGTCTAACATTCCATGCGTCTACATTAGTTATTGCTTTTGTTTGTCAGAAGGAGCATCGGCTTCGTAGCTTCCAAAAAAATTTGACTTTCAGCAAGAGGCGCCAGTAGAACCTTCGGGGCTACTGCCGGTCCCAAGCCCGGGTAAAGGAGGAGGGTTGGACATGGGGTTGGCGACCCCATTCCGTCAAAAACTAACTTGCCAAAAAAACGCTAACCAGAAAAAATAATTCAAACCATTTTAACTCTGCTCTGGGAGTTGGAAACTCCGCCAGTAGAACCTTAGGGGCTACTGCCGGTCCCAAGCCGGATAAAGGAGGAGGGTTGGACATGGGGTTGGCGACCCCATCCCGTTGAAATATCACTTGCCAAAATAACACTAACCAGAAAAGTTAATTCAAACCATTTTAACTCTGCCCTGGGAGTTGGAAGAAGAATTATGACGTCGCGTGATGAAAGCCGAGTTCCCTCGGAAGTCACGGGGCTGATGCCTCTTCTGACAACCAGAGCAACCATTTTTTAGGTACATGGAACGTTCGTACATTGTGGGAGACTGG